ACAAAGAACCGCAGTTTCAATGAAAGTTTCAGGATAAGTTTTGAACCAGCCTCCTGTTGAGTCAAAGTCACGAGGAAGTGTGTTTTTCTTGCTTAATTATTTTCCTTTTAAATAGTCAAAAATGAGCTAAATGTGACAAAAACACCACAAAAAGAAACCCAAAACATCGAAATGCTGTTGTGTTTCTGTTTTTGGTATTTTGTGGTTTCTTTTTTGTCAAAGAAGTTAGATCTGAGTGACAGAAGCCAAAAAACAAATTAATTCAACAAACATTTTTCCATTAAAGCAGAAAAATGACATAAAACACTTGGATCTTGAGTGTAAAATGATGTGAGGGCTGAACTGCCTGAGAATATTCGATACTAAAGCTCCGTATTTAAAGCCACTGCTTCTTTAAAAACGCCAGCTATTACACAACACAAAAACAACTGAATAACAAAACTACTTAAAGTTATTTTCTTAAACAGAATCCAACTTTTGATGTAAACCTGAGAGTAAACTTGTGTAATGTTTCATTAGAACGCTTTAGAACATCATTCATCCATGGTCTAGCAACAGAGAAGGAAATTAAGGGGTTTGCTCTTTTACTTCTTGATTCCAGTGATCTGTTTCTGGTACACCCCATGAGTTACAACACAAAACAACCAACAGCAGTATGTTCTGTTTCACCTTCACAGAAACACCCAAGACAATAGAAACACTCTGAAAGCAGGTAGAACCAGTTTAACTTGCCCAAAGTGCTGTTGATCACCGGACTGTCGACAGTTTCACTGACTGAGATCCAAGCAAATTAGTGCCATTGAAAGGGTCAGAGGTCAAATTTGAAAGCGTGTGTGTGAATGCAAAGTCCTGGGGCCTCATTTATCAAGCTTGCTTGCGCACAAAACAGGGTCGGAAAACTGCGTAAGCAACTTTCCACGCAAACTTAGGGATTTATGAAAGAAAATTTAGCGGAAAAATGTGCGCAACTTTAAACTGATTATGGACCTGGCTCACGCACATGTTGGACATGGAGAGCACCTGTAGTGCTGCTGCTGAGAAGGATAACATTATGAAATCCTGCAGCATTATCACTTGTACCGCTTTGTTTTCACACAGAACAAGACCCCCCACACTCATACACACGCGCGCATACTCACACACGCACATGCACGTACACACACACACACACACACACACACACACACACACACACACACACACACACACACACACACACACACACACACACACACACACACACACAGCCTGAAGTGCAGAAACGTAATGCAAAATATCAGCAGGGGGACAGATTGAGACAGAATGTCATGCGTCTGTGACAGTGTGTGTGTCCTGTCACTGTGACCCGATTGATCATGCACCCTGGCTGCCTGGATAGGGGAGATCTCCGTTTGGCTGACTGGTTAGTGCACATGACTTCCACCTGGGAGTCTGGGGATTGAGTCCCAATTGGACCATTTTTTTATATCGGCCACAGATCTCTCTGAAGAACTCAGCATTGACGGCTTCAGCAACGCTGTGCCACTCCGTGGATTTTCTTTTATTTGATTTGCAAAAGCACTTCCTTTCATTTCTCCACCTCACCCACAGGTACCTCAATTTCTGCTTCTGTGAAAAAGCGCTTCCTTGATCTGCCTTGATCTACAGTCGTCATGTCATTGGCAGAGCGCTGCAACAGCCGGCTTATGTATATGCATGAGGTCCACAAGTCACTTTGCATTGACTATTTATGGCAGTAAGTGGGCGTGGTGAGGGCGGGATGTGACTAAAAAGCAGCTGAGAAACATTCTCGTTAGTCTCCGATTTTTGAGGCGGAGATTGCGTGCAGCTGTGCGTACTCCATGTTTGATAGACCACAAACCTGCTTTGCGTTAGTACATTTTTTTTTTGCTGAGCTTAAGTACGGTTTTAGTAAGGATTCTACGCAATGTTTGATAAATGAGACCCTTGATGTTTGAAATCAGGTTTGATCATATTTTGACCCTTATTTTTGTGATTCAGAGCTCAAATCGGACGTGTTTTCACCACAAACGAATAAGTCCAAAACAAATCAAATTAATCACAACCCAATTAAAAACGCCTAAATATTTTAATTAAACTTTGATTTAATAGTGATAAATGATAAATAAATGATAAATAATACCACACACAATAATGATAAATAAATAAATGATCTTTCGTTCTTCCCTAATGAATTAAATCAAAATCTAATTGAGGCTGGTCTAAAATTTTCCAATGATAACTCAATTCAAGTCCAATTGAATTCTTACATTTTACCTCAATACAATTTGATTTCAATTTAAAGTCAATTTAGCACAATCAAGTTCCACCAAGATACAACTAAGGGGTTCCAAAAGATTCCTATTTACCGTAAATCCTCTAATACAGGCCCGGGCCTGTATTTGACCCGAGCTCATCAAGCTCCAGGCCTTTATTGGAAGGAGGGCCAGTATTAGAGGCAGGCCTCAATTTATATTTGAGCAAAATGAACTAATGGTTCGCTGGAGTTTTTGACAATTAAAATTGCACCCACATTTTCAAAGTTAAACACATTTCTTTTAACAACGGTAGTTTCTGCTTCAGCCCTCTCCCCCCTCCCCCTGCGCAGCGGCCGCAAACTCACTGATGCGCCTGCAGCCTCTCGGAGTTCCTGCTGCTCTAAACATTAAAATAATTATTTCATTTTCTGTTCCTCACTTCTGATTACCTTCAATGGTGTCTGTTTGTTGCAACCAGCAGGTACAAAAACTAACTTGTTTTTATTTGACTATTTTTCTGTCCTGCCTGTTTATTATCTTCCCGCATCTCCTCTCAATCCTAAAGAGAAACTGCTACCTGGGTTCATATATATTCATCTTATGAGTGGTAACTCATAAGAACATTAGAACTGCAGTTCTAAAAGATCTACCGACCGCTAAAACAGCGGAGTGCGCGTTGCTCGCCGGCCGCATCAGTGATCGGTGCGTCACCGGAGGACAAGGTGATGCGCCCCGATCCACAGCAGCGAAAAGCATCCGGCACAAATAAAAGACAGAAAACATAAAAGGAAATGAGCCGACATGAAAGATCGAGTGTTAAATTAGTTTTTGAGGTGGCGACACCTGATTTGATAATGTTACTGTGGCCGTGCTCAGGACGCAGATGTCTGGAGCGCGTCAACAATCAGAGCTTTGCATGCGCAAGCTGGTTAAGGTTAGGATGGGGGTGAGGGGAAGGTTAAATTGCAAGAGGGTAAAGGTCACAATTTGGTTAAATGTCCGTTTTACGGCAGGTGTCAGTACCGACGCTCTGACACAGCGCGTTGCCTCCTGACGCGCAGGAGCTTGTCACCTGCTGACAGCAGGCTGCTGTCTTTTCCGTGGACTGCATCTTGCCGGTCATTATCACGTGACAGCGACTAGTCGATGACAGGCATAACAAGTCACTATAGAGCGGTGAAGTCGACTAGTGACTAGTTCATACTGCTCCCCAGAGAGTTCTGCAGCATAATCAGCACGTTCTCTTTGAACTTGATATCAAATTTTCGCCTCCTCTTCGTCTCTGCACGGTTAAAGTTACCTTCGCGGTCTATCACTGGCAAATCAAAAGTGAGACGGATGACACAACCGCCCCCCGTACTTGCTTGTTACCACATTCCACCCGGCCACAATAAAAAAAAAAGCCATTATTCACCTCCGCCGACTCCGACCAAAATATGATACCTGGCAGTTAATTAAATACAGGCTAATATTAGAGGATTTATGGTAACTACATTCCTGAGAGTGTGTGCTATCTCTGAGTTAATATAAAGTAACTTCATGTCTTAATGTAACAAAGTTGTAAATATTTGTGTAAAATATTGAAATAATAAAGAAATGAATCCTGAATCTTGTGGAGTTTAAATATTTCAGTGACAGTTTAGTTCTCCCTGTTGAGGTTAAACTCTGGAGTCGTCATGAGGACGTTTCTCAAACTTCCATGAGATCTTCAGGTCATTTTTAAGTACCATAACCAGGTTTTTTTTTTCAACAGTGTCATGGATTGTAAGACACAGAAGCATGAAATCCTTTTTCCAACACTTTAGGCGTTTTCCTCTGACATTCATGTAACCAGACCTGAAAAACACTATTTAACCCCTGAAACAACTCATAAGCATCTAAATTGTGTTTTAGAGAAGCTAAACTATGTGTGAAAAAGTTCATGGTGCTGTGAAATCCTTGCCCACAGAGACGATGGCCTTATCTCAGAAAAGAAGAACCCGTTGGTTCTGTTTGATGACGAGTTTGTTAAAAAGTCTCTGACCTTCTTTGTTTGTTGTTTCTCCCACAGGAAGTGATGCACAGATGAGTGGTGAGTTTCCTCTTTTACACACCTGAAATTCAAACATTTTAAAATATCTGAAATCTTTATTAAGCCGGCAATAGCAAATCTACAGAACAAGCAGAATTTTAAACACAAACCCTTCCTGTCAGCTATCGTCCCTGGACCACATCCAATGGATACCGAAACCCGCGTAAACGAGATAGCGCTAAACACCAGTCGCTGTTTTCTATGTCTCAACCTCTTTTGTTGTTCGTGACTTCAGATGGTGTTTTTGTTTTTGGGACTCCGGTAGTTTGTCCTACATTAGAAGTAGTAGCAACCAGCTGTTTCTAGCTGCAGGCCAGTGGTGTTATGTAGCAATATGCTCAAACGCATATTGAGTGGAAAACCCAGGTAATTGTGGAAGTGCGTTGGTTCGGCATGAAAGAGAACCGGATGGTCCAGTCATGGGTTTCAGACTGAGGCGTGTTATTGACTAAGGTTTTTAGAGAAATGCGAGATAACCATTGCATCATTTTTCTTCTGTATATATATTTTTATCACCATATGATATCTATAGCAACAGAACGTTGGTAAACCCCTCTTACTGCTGACAAATACAGACAAAGCCTAATGTTGCTTTCCTTGCACATCCAGGAAGGGGTTTTGTAGCACCGAGTTCACCTTTCCCCCTCTGGCTTGTCAGCGGAGGGAAAGTTGTGATGGCAGAACGGTTTTGTCCACATCTGAATCCTTCTCAATAAATCTAGATGAATGTTGTCTCTTTCCAGTTTTCTGAGAGGTTTTCCTTTCAATTATTTACAAAATACAACACAAATCTGACTAAATACTTCCATGGAACAAATGTGTCAGAAATGCTATAAAATACGTCAGAATCTTTACTCTTACTAATGCAAATATAAAGTACAGCACACCACTGGAAAGTTTAGGGTCACAGTTTTCAGAATCTGTTTGAATGACGTTGATTGCTAACAATGGTCTAAGAGTTACGGTAATTAAAGTATGGAAGCTATGCTGCGTCTGCGCTGACGTGTCAGCAGCAGGGTTAAGAGGCATGAAAAAACATTTAGAGCTAGCTTGTTTTTGCACATTTACCATTGTAGCTTTAATGAAAGGTCAAACGCAAAAATGAAACCAAAACAACTGACTGAGGCTAAAATCAGGATGAAGTTGTACAAAACTGAACATTTTCCATGGATTTTTAACACACTGAAGTTCTGGTTGTTCAGATGTCTACAAATCAGTTCTGCCGGTTTCCGCTCTCTTTTATGTGAGAATGTTTCCCCACAGTTTGTGGCATTGCTCCACTCAACACGAAAACCAAGATTGTTGGGGGTCAGGACGCAACTGCGGGGGCGTGGCCCTGGCAGGTCAGCCTATACAGAGGGGGACATTTCTGTGGCGGCTCTCTGATCAACAGCCAGTGGGTTCTAACAGCCGCCCACTGCTTTCCCAGGTAAGTCCTAATCATGTGATTACTTTCCTTCAGATATCTCGGCATCCTGAAGTACCTAACCATCTGACTGCTTCCCTCAGCACCAGCACCGCAAACTTGATTGTTTATCTGGGACGACAAACTCAGCTACACCAGAATCCTAATGAGGTCTCCCGAACAGTGTCCCAGATAATCAAACATCCAAACTACGACAGCCAAACCATTGACAACGACATCACCCTGCTGCGGCTGTCCTCCTCTGTGACCTTCACCAACTACACCACACCCATCTGTCTGGCAGCATCAGGCAGTGTCTTCCCCGCCGGGCTGGACACCTGGGTCACGGGCTGGGGAAACATATACAGTGACGGTGAGGATCCATGCAGTGGTCATGTTGTGGTTGTCTTTTTATGGGACTTAGTGATAGTTTTAGCTTTTCTTTATTATTGCATGATGCATTTAAGGCTGTCAGCCAAGGATGTCCTTGGATTTCCTTTTGGAGTCAACACCTTTGACTATAACCCAGTTTTACTGATACAGAGATGCATTTTGTTGTAATGATAGCTGCGATTACTCATAATGTTGTAGTGGTGAGGATTAGCTACATTATGTGTTAAGTGACCAACAAGATGTGATAGTCCATATAAATATGAATATTCATCTGATTGATCCTTAAATGTTTGATTTAGATTACTCTAGCTTCTTTGACTATTCAGGGAAAATGCACTTCATATTTTACCTTCCGTGAAGGAAGGTTGCAGGTTCGAGCCCTGCTCAGTTTGTTGCTATCATTGTGTCCTTGGGCAAGACACTTAACTCTCCCTGCCTGCTGGTGGTGGTCGGAGGGACCGGTGGCACCAGTGCTCGACAGCCTCGCCTCTGTCAGTGCGCCCCAGGGCAGCTGTGGCTACATCGTAGCTCATCATCACTAGGATGTGAATGTGTGTGTGAATGGGCGGTTCCAGGACTCTAGAAGGCGCTATTTCAAAAACAAGCCATTTACCATTGGCCACATTAAGTCCGACAGAGTCAAGGAAATAGGTTAAGAGTCTGGGTGTCATCCTCGACAGCTCACTTTCTTTTCAAGCTCACATTAATAACATAATTCGGTCAGCATACTTCCATCGTCGTTCCATAAACCGTCTTCGCCCCTCCCTTACCCCTCACACTGCCGCCATTCTCGTCCACAGCCTCGCCACCTCCCGTCTCGATTATTAAAATTCACTTCTTTATGGTCTCCCCAACAAATTCCTTCATAAACTGCAACTGGTCCAGAATTCACCCGTATTATCACCAGAACCCCTTCCTTTCACCACATCACCCCAGTTCTCCAGCAGCTTCACTGGCTTCCAGTTAAATTCAGGTCCATCTTCAAAATTCTCCTCCATACCTTCAAAGCCATCCATAACCTCTCTCCTCCATATATCTCAGACCTTATAAGTATTAGCACCCCCTCCCATTCTCTCAGATCTTCTTCCTCCATCCATCTTGCTGTTCCTTCTGCCCGTCTCACTACCATGGGGAGCAGAGCTTTCAGCCGCTCTGCTCCCCGTGTCTGGAACTCACTCCCCCCAGACATCAGGAACATCGACAGTTTCGCCCTTTTCAAAACCAGACTCAAAACACACATGTTTAAATCTGCCTATGACCTCTGATTTTATTTAACTGTTTCTCTCTTTGTTTTTTCTTCTTTGCATTTTATTGTTGTTTTATTGCTGTTTTAATGTATTTTCTGAATGTATTTTTTGTCAAGTGACCTTGGGTGTTCTGAAAGGTGCTTTTAAATAAAAGGTATTATTATTATTATCATTATTATTGTAAAAATTAATTTTATTCTATTTTTCCTAAACTAAGTGATTATACAGGTCAAAATTTGAATGAAATGATGGTTGTACAGATAACAGACAATGGAAGAAATGATTTAATGTAAGCTTTTAGCAGAACCTTGTAAGTATCTGAGAGATCTTGTGATGACTTGGTTGTAAAATCAGTTTGGCTTTATGGTTTGATAAACTAGAAATTATTCATAAAACCATCCGACACAATTGTGCAGTCTAGATACCCTTTGTGTGACTGTCGCTCTCCGCGGTCCTGACGAAAGGCAGCCAGAGTGGTGATTTACCAGACCTCGTGGCCACAGGAACCCAAAGAGTTGCAGTTCCCTTTGAATTCTGATTTTTAGTCCGGCCATGAGATGCAACCAGGGTCTGCAGGTTAGACGTTCCACATCTGAGGTGTTGGGTGGCTCTTTAAAGACATGTTGTCTGATATCACTCACAAGCGTTGCAGAGCAATGCTTTGACCTGAGGTCAAAAGAGAGGATGGTTCCAAATGCTTGCTCACCGGTCGGCTGAACCAGGGGGCAGCTGGAGAACTAAGGAATCAGGAAGTGATTCCTGTATTTATCAACTTTTGTTTATAAATTCTAGACAAATCAGAATTTGACAAGTTATAAAGGCGTTACCAAAGACCCCAGAGAATCACGTCTTCACCCAGATACTTAGGGGCTAATTCTTAGCGTGAAGTGAAAATGTTATTATACATTTACCGTAAATCCTCTAATACAGGCCCGGGCCTGTATTTTACTCAAGCTCATCAAGCTCCAGGCCTTTACTGGAAGGAGGACCAGAACTAGAGGCAGGCCTCAATTTCTATTTGAGCAAAATGAACTAATGGTTCGTTGGAGTTTTTGACAATTAAAATTGCACCCACATTTTCAAAGTTAAACACATTTCTTTTAACAACGGTAGTTTCTGCTTCAGCCCTCTCCCCCCTCCCCCTGCGCAGCGGCTGCAAACTCACTGATGCGCCTGCAGCCTCTCAGTGTTCCTCCTGCTCTAAACATTAAAATAATTAATTCATTTTCTGTTCCTCACTTCTGATTACCTTCAATGGCGTCTGTTTGTTGCAACCACCAGGTACAAAAACTAACTTGTTTTTATTTGACTATTTTTCTGTCCTGCCTGTTTATTATCTTCCCGCATCTCCTCTCAATCCTAAAGAGAAACTGCTACCTGGGTTCATATATATTCATCTTATGAGTGGTAACTCATAAGAACATTAGAACTGCAGTTCTAAAAGATCTACCGACCGCTAAAACAGCGGAGTGCGCGCTGCTCGCCGGCCGCATCAGTGATCGGTGCGTCACCGGAGGACAAGGTGATGCGCCCCGATCCACAGCAGCGAAAAGCATCAGGCACAAATAAAAGACAGAAAACATAAAAGGAAATGAGCCGACATGAAAGATCGAGTGTTAAATTAGTTTTTGAGGTGGCGACACCTGATTTGATAATGTTACTGTGGCCGTGCTCAGGACGCAGATGTCTGGAGCGCGTCAACTGCATGCGCAAGCTGGTTAAGGTTAGGATGGGGGTGAGGGGAAGGTTAAATTGCAAGAGGGTAAAGGTCACAATTTGGTTAAATGTCCGTTTTACGGCGGGCGTCAGTACCGACGCTCTGGCACAGCGCGTTGCCTAAGGAGCTTGTCACCTGCTGACAGCAGGCTGCTGTCTTTTCCGAGGGCTGCATCTTGCCGGTCATTATCACGTGACAGCGACTAGTCGATGACAGGCATAAAAAGCCACTATAGTGAATTCGACTAGTGACTAGTTCATACAACCCCTGCTACTGCTCCCCAGAGTGATTTGACCAATACTACCAGGATGATCTTAGTTTAAAAATTTAAGTCCTACAGATTTTAAATCTTTAAATCACCTACCATTTCATTTTATTTCTAAAGCATGTTTATAAACACAGCATGACAGCTGACCAAAGTGTTGTAGAAGTACAAAGATGACGCTCAGTGAGTGAAACAAATAACACCTACGATTGTTCATGTTGTCTGTAAATCGTTTCCAGACTGTTGAGAGATTCTCTGTCATCTCTTTTGTCTGGTATTTGTAGGTTTTGTGAGATTTTTTCCCCCCTGGGTACTTCCTGATAAGCTTTCTGACTGCTCACTCGTTCCTCCTATAGTTCACCCACTCAGCTGCAATCACCACTCCCAGTATTTGTCTCCAAAATATCTAACATGAGCTAGCCCTCTGAGGGACCCATTCCTGATTCTATCCATCCTCGTCACTCCCAAAGAGAACCTCAACACAAAAGTCAAAGCAGTATTCAAAAGTAAACATCATTAATATAATAAGAGTTAAAGTTATTTGTATTTTTTGTGAGTTTGTTTGTTTGTTTGTTTATCAAATTTTTGCCATCCAGGTTTTCACAATCTGTTCTTCTGTCCAGTTGCCCTACCGTCACCTCAGACGCTGCAAGAGGTGGATGTCCCCATCGTGTCCAACACTAAGTGCAGTGACTCCTACAGCTCAATCACAAGCAACATGATCTGTGCAGGTCTGACTCAAGGAGGAAAAGACTCCTGTCAAGTGAGTCCTGAATGTCAACAGCACCAATCCAGTTTTTGGATATGAGTATAGAGGCCAAATCACGTGTAACACTTAGTTACTTACATGGGAACAGTGCTGTGGGAACGTATTTTCCTAACGGGGTGCTGTGATCAGCTCCACAAACACACACACACACACACACACAAAAGCACACGTTATATAGATGCATATTTATTAGGGCCGGGACTCGATTAAAAATTTTAATCCAATTAATTAGAGGCCTTGTAATGAATTAATCTAAATTAATCGCATTTTAATCGTTCAGAAAAATGTGCCCTCAAAGCAAAACTTTTAATTAAAATTATGAGACAGATAATCAAACATCAGACATGGTTATTACTGTAAACTAAAGCTTTTAAATAAAAAAAAAATGCTTTTTTATTATTCAAATGTCACTGTGTGATATGAAACAAGACCCAAATCAAATAAAATCAGAGTAGTGAGAACACGGAGCGTTCTCCCAGCAGCAGCCAGGTGCCTCTCGTTTGTCTGACTACTTTTATAAACTACTATTAGGTCAAAGATTTATTCTGTCTGGTGCTTTCAGCGCTGCACAGATGTTACGTAAATGTTAAAAATATAGCTTACCGCAACTTTTGTAAAGTTTCCGGTGCCACCGGGCAGCTGCAGCAGAGACGATCTCTGAAAAATGTCCGCGATACGGACTCCGTTGCTGTCTGGAAGTTGTTTTTTTTTCCAAGTTAAGAAAAAAGGTGGACGGGTTTCCTAAATCCTGCATCAGTCCAAGCAAGGCAACTTCTTTCTGTTTTTATTCCGTTTTAGTAGCCATTAGCACTGTGCATTGTTGTGTGTGTCAGTGATATTCGGTCTACGAGGAAATCATGCAATGACAAAGGTTCCGCCGTGCTCGAAATGCAAGCTGTGATTAAATGCATTAATTTTTTAACGCGTCATTTTTTTCTAATTAATTAATCAATTAACGCGTTAAAGTCCTGGCCCTAATATTTATATGTAGGCTGATAGCTAGCCTAGTAGTAGTAAGCCTTAATATAATTTATTCTTGGTTCATTCTCCAAAATAACAGCAACTTATTACCAATAACGCTGTGCGGAAACTCCACAAATGACAAGTCAAAACTTCCAGAATCCACACCGCCGAACCCCACCTCTACCGTACACGTTGGCAAGGGAACTAACTGACAGATGCTCTTCACAGAAAACAGATCTGACAGAACATCTTCTTAAATGTAACTTGGAAACTAAAAACAAAACAGAACATTTCCACCCGTTGTTTATGTACACGTGACACTACAGAAAAACTGTTTCACTCGCTCATGTGTGTATGAGAGATAATTTAGAAAAATGTCCCTAGTGGCCCCTCATACACTGAGCCCTGTCTTGTCTCTGACCGTTTTTCGGGTGTACAACAGAACCACTGAAGCAGACGAGGATCAAGAAGCTGTTAAATTAGTCATCCAAAAGCTAAATCTGATGGATAAGCAGGTGGTCCCAGGTCTTCACTGCCTTGTAGTTATTTTGTAAATAAAAGACACGTTGTGATATTTCTGGGGTTGCCTTGATTTCAGTTTAAGCTCTCATTTTATTTTATTATTTTTCTACCCCGATTCTTAAAACTTAAAACACAAATACAGTTGTTGTTGTTTTTTTTTTTACCTAACCCTTTAACTGTTCTCTCTGCCATGTTCAGGGGGACTCCGGAGGCCCGTTGGTTGCTAAGAACGCCACTCGGTGGGTCCAGGCTGGAATTGTGAGTTTTGGAAATAGCTGTGCTCAGCCGAACTACCCAGGAGTCTACACTCGTGTGTCTGAGTACCAGTCCTGGATCAACAGCCAGATCACTGGCGATCAGCCGGGCTACATCAACTACAACACCGACTTAACCTCAGCAGCTCACCTCATCTCCCTCTCAGTCCCTCTGCTGCTGTCCGTCTTACCTGTCTTCTTCTCACTGTTTGTCCTCTTATGAGCCTTTCTATTTGGTTCTCCAAGCTAAATAAAACCATCAGCTCAGGGTCAAAATGTGACGAAACAGTCTGCCAGTACTTCCACATCCTTTTTTGCACAAAACCACGAACAAATGTTGAGAATTGGATGTTTGTTTTAAATTTTAAAACTATTAAAACCAATAGCCAAATAAAACGGTCACAGTTCAACCATCTAATTATAACTATAACCAGTATCTGAACATATGGTAACTAAAATATTTTGAGTTGATTGGACGAGCAATTTTAATTTAATAAACTTCAAATGTATGAGTAAAATTTATTAAGAAATTTAATTTATGAAAATTTAAAATTTTCAGTATCAAAACTCTAAAAAATTGAGGCAAATGATCGCCTCAATTTTTTTGAGTTCTGGGAACTTATTCGGGTTTACAGTGATAGAGTTATTTTAAAAAAAAACTTTCATTTAAATTGATTATTGAGTGATTCTGTTTACAAACAACCATAATAATAATATACAGGAGCCTGAAACAAATCCAACTGAATTTAAACAAGTTAACTAATGAAATGATGATCAATAATTAAATACTGACATGTTACAGGAATTAAATTATTGGCATAAAGTTTCACAGATAAAGCTTTGTTATAATCACTAAACCGTAATAAAATAAAATACCCAATACTGGTAACGTAAAAGTGAAGTCATTAAAATGTATTAAAAATCTATTATAAAGTTTATATTACAACAGAAAAACTAAGATTTTTTTTACTTATTTCATTTTGTATTTATCTTCCACGATCACAAAGTCAAATGTAGAAAAGACATATTTGAAATGAAGAATAAAGCTATTTTAGAAGCACAATTATGAAAAAGATTTAGTGCAATATTGCAGGCCGACACATTAAGTGCTAATTGGGTTAATATATCATTCACATTTAGCATTTTTATTCTGTAATGAGATCAGTGATAAACAGTTGAGAGACAGCTTTAAGGTAAAGGCAGAGCTTTCACGTGTTTCTTTCATTTGGGTTTAATTAATGGGGATTTAAATATGAATTCATTATAACGACTAATTGTAGCTATTTTGGCACTTTTTGGGTTCCAGAGAAATTACTCTGCTAATCTGACCTGATTTTGTCCTGAAGCTGATAAAACAGAACGTGTTTGCTGATGTTTAACTGGAAAATCTCAGAAGGGATTTCTTTTGAATGTTTGTGAAGTTTTTGAAGCAAAAATACTAAAAGATGGCACTAATGAAGTCCACTGACACTTTGCAGACAGAATGCTGCGGAACAGATCTGCTTTAGACGTCTTTGTGTGGTTTATGTTGGTCAGAACACCTTCAGATGTTTGAACCGAACACATGTAACTGTGATTTATATTTGAAACAGAAATATATGAAGACATTATGCAATATTCATCACTGAAATGTAACATTATTTTCTAAGAAACCACTGAGTTTTTGTTCAATTTTCAATTCTGAAAAACCCATTTTCTCATCATTTATGATTTTCAGTGTAAACAATGATTGAAAATAAACTCTGAAATGAAGAATAAAATTGAAAATGAAGGTGTGGGGAGCCTATTCTTCCGCAGTTTAGTAAAATAAAAAAATTAATAAATAATACTCTACTGAGACCAACTGACTGCATAGGAGCAGCGTCATATAACATAGCAAAAGAGATGAGCAGAATCATCAGCCCACTATTAGGCAACACAGATCAATAATGTAAAAACAGCACAGAACAATTAAAAGAACTGAAAAAAGTTATAAAAGAAGATGACGACACACTGATCTCACATAGCGTTACATCCCTGTTCAGAAAAACGCCAACCCAAAAAACCATCGAGTATCAGACAAGACAAAACTTCACATAAAAGGACAAACCTCACAGCAGATGACATCACGATCAGTAGAACTAGTAGCAAACTCCACTTACTTCACTTAAAATGGAACCATGTACAAACAACTAGAAGGCGTTGCCATGGGAAACATACCATCAGCTAGCCTTTGCGAGTTTTTCATGGAAGACCTGGAACAAAAAGCCATAGCCACTGCAACCCCCCCCCACCCACCCACCCACCCCGCAAAACAAAACTATGGAAATGCTACCTAGATGACATATTAGGAATCATATAATACACTGGGTCAGAACAAGGATCACAAACACAGAACAAAAATACAAAAGAGGGATTATGGAAGCTATAGAAATAAGGAGATGTGGGCACAAAACCATGAACAGACGATGGATTATTCACACTGAATCACGAATGGGACAGCATCATCAGCAAGGGTTGAATTCAATTGAATTTTATTTATCACGACAAGAGTCATCTCAAGGCACTTCACATAATAAACATTCCAGTCCAGGTCAGTTCATTAAGCCCATCAGAAAAAAGTTTCCTATATAAGGAACCCATAATAAGCAAGCATTTAGCAACAGTGGAGAGGAAAACTCCCTTTTAACAGGAAGAAACCTCCAGAGAATCCTGGCTCAGTATAAGCAGCCATCCTCCACGACTCACTGGGGATGGAACACACACACACACACACACACACACACACACACACACACACACACACACACACACACACACACACACACACACACACACACACACACCAAGCAATGTTGCTATGGTTACATTATGATTTCGTAGTAAATATTCTATTTGGCGAGAGATAAACTTTATTGTATTTATCCTAGTGAATCCTAGAATATGGAGGATGCAGGTAGAGGGCGACACGGCCCTCTGCTGCCTACGGATAAAAGGAAGTGACGATCACTGATGATGGCTAGAGATACTAGCTGAAACATGTCAGGTAAAAAAACACATTTTTATTTTTTACTGTGTAAGAAATAAACAAGAAATAGATTAGGAATAAAACCAGATTGAATGTACAAAAGAGTGTGAGGAGGCGGTTAGCGGTTATTTAATGACAGGAATGACAAAAGGTTGCTTTTTCTCTTCACCCACATTCAGAAGAACTCCTTGGACATTTATCAATGAACAAGGATACCAGAATGACATCAGAATAGATGAGACTTTATCTCATTTAACTACAGAGAAAACTCTGGATAATCTATCCTATTTAGATGGAGGCATGTTGGAGGCAGGGCAAGGGAGAGTCGTCTTTACCGACTGTACACTCCACCTCCCTCTACTCCCCCACTTGTCCTGATTTAGGCTAACGTCAGATTTTAACCATAGGCCCTATCAAATAAAAATGTTTTAAGCCTATTCTTAAAAGTAGACAAGGTGTCTGCCTCATGGACTAAGGCTGGGAGCTGGCTCCACAGGAGAGGAGCCTGATAACTAAAAGATCTGCCTCCCATCCTAATTTTAGATATTCTGGGAACCACCAGTAGACCTGCAGTCTGAGAGCGAAGTGCTCGGTTAGGAACATATGGAACAATCAGATCACTGATGTATGATGGAGCTTGATTATTATTATTAAGAGCTTTATATGTGAGAAGAAGGATCTTAAAATCTATTCTGAATTTAACAGGTAGCCAGTGTAGGGAAGCCAAGACAGGAGAGATATGATCTCTCTTTTTAATTCTCATCAGAACTCTAGCTGCAGCATTTTGGACAAGCTGAAGACTTTTAACTACATTCTGTGGACTTCCTGAGAGTAATGAATTACAGTAATCCAGTCTTGATGTAATAAATGCATGAACTACTTTTTCAGCATCATTCCTGGAAAGTATGCTTCTAATCTTAGCAATATTCCGAAGGTGGAAAAAAGAAATCCTACAAACTTGTGAAACCTGGGATTTGAAAGACATGTCCTGGTCAAAGATAACACCAAGGTTCCTTACTTTGTTCTCGGAGATTAATGTAATGCCATTCAAGTCAGGTGATTGGCTAAGCAATTTCCTTTTCTGGATTTCTGGTCCAAAGATGAGAACTTCCGTCTTGTCTTGATTTAAAAGCAAAAAGTTTAGAGTCATCCAATGTTTTATGTCCTCAAGACAAGCCTGTAATCTACCCAACCGATTAGGTTCATCAGGGTTAATGGGTAAATATAGCTGAGTATCGTCAGCATAACAGTGGAAGTTTACCCCATGCTGTCTAATGATTTTACCAATTGGGAGCATATATATAGTAAAAAGAATTGGTCCAAGCACTGAACCCTGTGGTACTCCGCAAGTAACCCTGGAGTATGAAGACGATTTGTCATGTACATTTACAAAATGAAATCTGTCAGACAGGTAGGATTTAAACCAGCCTAACACTGTTCCTTTGATCCCTACAACATGTTCAAGTCTTTCTAAAAGAACATTGTGATCAACTGTGTCAAAGGCAGCACTGAGATCTAACAAGACTAGAACAGACACAAGATTCTTATCTGAGGCCATGAGAATATCATTTGTAACTCTCACTAATGCAGTTTCAGTGCTGTGATACTCTCTAAAACCAGACTGAAATTCCTCAAACAGATCATTAGTGTTTAAATGCTCACATACTTGGATGGCCACTATTTTCTCCAGGACTTTGGATAAAAATGGAAGGTTAGATATTGGTCTATAATTCATTGGGTCATCTGGATCCAGAGAAGGCTTCTTAAGTGAAGGTTTGATTACAGAAACCTTAAAATCTTGTGGTACATATCCATTTACTAAGGATAGATTGATTATATCTAGAATGGGGGCAGTAACCAAAGGAAATGCTTCTTTAAATAATTTGGTTGGGATCGGATCCAAAATGCAAGTTGAAGATTTAGATGAAGCTAATATTTTTGATAACTCTGAAAGCTCAACTGGATCAAAACGGTTCAAGCACAGATGAGGTTCTACAGTCACCTCTGAAGCTGCCTCACTTACTGAGGAAGAAGAAATCGCATTAGGGAGGATGCTAAAGATTTTGTTTCTAATAGAATTAATTTTACTTGTAAAAAATCCCATGAAGTCATTGCTGCTGAGGGCTAAGGGAATAGATGGCTCAGAGCTATGATTCTGTGTAAGTTTAGCAACTGTACTGAAAATAAATTTAGGATTATGCTTATTCTCCTCAATTAATGCTGAGAAATAAGCAGTTCTAGTTTGTCGAAGCTTATTTTTATAAAGCACAAGACTATTTTTCCAGGGTAGGTAGGCCTCCTCATGGTGCGTAGAGCGCCATGTTCTCTCCAATTTCCTAGAGTTTTGTTTTAAGGCTCGTAGATGAGAATTAAACCAGGGAGCCAACTTCCTGTCCCTAATTACCTTCTTTTTTAAAGGGGCTACATCATCTAATGCCACACGAAAAGAGGAATTAACATGATGAACTAAGGCATCAATTTGTGAGGGGCTAGAACTGAGAATATTGCCCTCTGCTACGTTCCTCTGAGATGCCGAGGACAGTAAAGATGGAACAGTTGATTTAAAAGATGCAACTGCGTTGTCAGATAGAGACCGACTATAGTGAAATTTACTTTCATGTCTCGAAAACTCAGTTATAAAAAACTCAAAGGTTATCAGAAAGTGGTCCGAGAGGACTGGATTATGTGGAAAGATCGTTATTTCCTCACACTCTATGCCATAAGTCAGCACAAGGTCCAATGTATGATGGCAGGAGTGGGTGGAGCTATGTATTCTTTGAGTAAAACCAATTGAGTCTAAGATATTACTAAAGGCTACATTGAGGCAATCATTTTCAAAGTCCACATGAATATTAAAAGCCCCCACGACAATGACCTTATCAGTATTTAGCACCAAATCAGATAAAAAATCAGAGATCTGATCCAAAAACTCAGAGTAAGGGCCTGGTGGACGATACAAACTACAAACAAGAGTGGTTTTACAGTTTTGCAATCTGGATTAGGAAAACTAAGAATAAGATGTTCGAACGAACTGTAACTATTAATCTGTAAGGGACTGATTATTAAGTCCGAATGAAAAATGGTTGCTACTCCTCCTCCTCGCCCTGTACTTCGAGCAATATGATGATTTAAATAATTTGAAGGAGTCGACTCGTTTAAGCTAACATAGTCCTCTTGCTGCAGCCAGGATTCTGTGAGAGAGAGCAAAGAGATCTGATTATCACAAATCAAGTCATTAACTAACAAAGTCTTAGAAAAAATGGATCTAATGTTCAACAACCCACATTTAATTTTTCTAGTTTTCTGCTCAGTTGAATTTGTTCTAATATTTATGAGATTTCCATGGTTTGCTTTATTAAGCCTGATATTTAATCTGTGTGATTTTGGCCGTGGGCAGGACACTGTCTCTATGGGGTAGTGGGTGGGTAACAGTACAGAAGCTGCAGAGGGGTGGGTTAAACTACGACTCTGTTTCCTGGTCTGGACCCTGGGTAGTCATGGAGGACTAATAAAACTGGCCATATTCCTAGAAAGAAGAGCTGCTCCATCCAAAGAGGGATGGATGCCGTCTCTCTGCATCAGACCAGGTTTTCCCCAAAAAGTTTTCCAATTATCAATGTAGCCCACGTTGTTTTCAGGACACCACCTAGACAGCCAGCGGTTGAAGGACAGCATGCGGCTAAACATGTCGTCACTGGTCCGATCAGGCAGGGGGCCAGAGAAAATTACGGAGTCCGACATTGTTTTGGCAAACTTACACACCG